ATAATATATAATATATTATATAATAATATAGCAAACAGCCAGCCCCTCCGCTTCTTCCTCGTTACAGAAAAGGCCCTTTCCTATACAAGACACCCAGGCTGTATGGTAACTTCTTCAGTATTTGGGCTGAGGACTCTTCTAAACAGGCTTGATGCTATCCAATGCTAGATCAAGCACAGAGATAAAACCTTCCTTGTTACTAAGGTGTCATCTGTCAGCGATGTTATTAACGAAGGCCCTGACGTTAGGCAAGGCAGAAAGCACACCACAGCTGTTCTCAAAAAATACTGAGACAGTGAATTTACAGTACAATCTTTAAGTTGAAATCGACTCATTTGAAACATTCATACTTTTCCAGAATTTACCCAGGACCTAACAGCATAGATCTCCACAAATTAATTAATCTCCAGTGAAGAACCCAAGGTTTTCAAAACACTGCTCAGGCTATTGCTCTCACAAGACATTGAGTACTCTCAAGCATAGCTTATACTGAACTTCAACGGAAGTAACATTTTAATTAGCTTTATCTGAGATCTTGCTTTCCCTCTGTTTTTCTTGAGACATTTCCTACCAGAAACCACTTGGAATTGCAGAAAATGGAAGACAAGTGGCATACCAGGCTCTTGACAACTTTCAGCAACTCCTCCATCACCACAGCAATACCCTGATACCCAAGAAGTCTACAGATGACTTTAAAGTGAGGGGGACCAACGAAATTCCTGTAGTTGCTGTAGATGCTGGAATATGCCAGATTCAATGCCTAAAAGGAGAGAACAGACATGATTAATGACCATTTCAGCTGACTGCATCTTTGTAATAATCTCATTTAAACATCATTTTAAAGCATATCAGAAATAAAATAACACCTTTGTATCTCACTGTCTCTCCAGGGAGATAAAATACAAAGCTTCCCTTTTGTAAGGCAGGAGCTCCAACCAAAATCTCTGTATTAGCAAGAAAAACTTGTAAGCACTTTTTTCACTCGGCATCTTCCACCTGCCATCTACAAAGACACGAACATTTCCTCTTTCATATTTTTCTATGTACGCAGGTATAAAAGGATAAGAATAGTCAATGCCAATGTTCATATCACTGAATGTAAAGCACAGCTTTTATTCCTATATTGTCCACTTTATGTACAAAACAACTTGAAATAAGTTACTTCAATTTTCAGTTCATAATAGGTGTTTTAAGTATCTTGAGGACTCAACTACAAAAAAAGCGCAGCCTTCTGCAGTTACTGCTCTCTGCCACTAATTAATAAGGATCTCTCTTTTTTGAACCCTTTAGCTGTACACAAGATCAAAGCAAATCTAAGTCTGGGATGTAACCTCATGGAAAATTATTCCAGAGTTGTATAAATAGGACCAGGTGCTTTGCCATATTAATGACTATTTCTTCAAAGCAAACACAGCTGTGCAGACTGATGTTGTACAGGGATTTCGGAACTGTTTGCTGAAGCTGTGGATCAAAGAGGAGTTAGCTAACTTAACATCCTCCATTTCTGCAAGTGGGTTGTTCTCCTCCTATCTTGAAATTTAATTCTAAAAGGGAATCTCCTCAACCTTTCCTGCGGAAGATTCTGTTGTGTTTCCTTCTCTGCAGTTTTCATTCCCTCCAATACATGCATGAAAGTCAGCATACTGTTAGATTTTCAACTCCACACCCGTCAGCTTTAACAGAAAATTTTCCTTCACCAGTATCCAGGAAGAACCCTGACCTTCCCTTCAGTGCAGATCCTGCCCCAATTATCCACAGAAGTCAATGCCAGGTACTGTAATATATGACAATGCACAGAGAAACTACTAGGAATTCAAGTCATGAAACTCTACCGAGCTCTTCAAGGATTTTAGTCTCATAAAAGAAGAAGACTTACAAATCATCTTTAGAAGAGTTTGGGACAGAAGATACACATTGGGTTTTTTACGTTGTAAATCTCTGCTTAAACACCAGTTTCCAACATGTTTTGAACTGTGGTCTTAAAAATTTAAAAATTCGATTCTAGACTGATATATAACAAATGCAAATTTAGCAACACATTAAGAATTCTTAGCCGCCTTTTTTGGATGCCTTAGATGTACTTCACAGATACTTATGGGTCAAAAATTATTGCACTATGAAAGAAAAATACGGAAGCACAGGCTCAGAAGAGACCATCTGGGTCATAACAAGAGAGAACTAGAGATCCAAAACCAACTTTCTGAATCAGGCAACTCCTAACTTAAGTGAGAAACTGTGCGTATGTCATTAAAACACTTACACAGAGAAAAGTATATAAATTTTATTGTGCTTCAACAGCCTCAGGAAGCTATAACCAGAAACTTATTTCTGCAATGTGAAAATTCAAGAAGTTGCCAGTACTGAAATTCACTTAGTGGTTTAGTTATATTTCTTACATGCCTGAACTTCTGCTTCCATCTGTGTGACAAAACTATACAGCAAGATAGCCTGACCCACAGAAGGTGGATGTGAGGGTGTCATGGTTTGAGCTCAGAGGGCAACTGAGCACCACGCAGCTGCTCACTCCTCCCTTCCCTCCCAGCGATGAGAAGGGACAAATGAGCCAGGCTTGGGATTCGAGATAGGACAGGGAGGGGCAAATCACCTGTTACGGTCATGAGCAAAAGGCAGACTCGTTAGGGGAAGGAAAAAAGAACATAGGTTTATTACAGACACTAACAACACTTAACAGAGTAGGACAGTGAGAAGTGTTGCCACATCTTGAGAACACCTTCCCCCCACCCCTCCCTTCTTCCCAGGCTCAGCTCTGCTCCCGATATCTCTACCTCCTCCCCCAGTGGCGCAGGGGCAGGGAATGGGGGGTGCAGGCAGTGCTGCCGCTTTATCTTCGGTGGGGGGAGCTTCTGGAACCTCTCCCCCTGCTCCATCGTGGTCCCCCTCTCACAGGAGACAGTCCTCCACAAACTTTCTCCAACATGAGTTCCTCCCACGGCTGCAGCCCTTCCCGAGCTGCTCCGGCGTGGGACTCCCCCGCATGCTGCAATCCTCCCAGCGCTGAATTACAGCAGCGGGGGCTGCCTTTTCCCACGAGACCCCGGCCTTCTTCGGGCACAGAACCTTGATTATACCAAGCGGAAGCCACAGGCCATAAATCAATGTCTGCTCCACCGTAGATCTCCATGGGTGGCGGGGGGGGGGCGCCCTGCCATCTCCCCACAGGATACAGGGGGGTCTCTGCTCCGGCACACCTCCCCCCTCCTTTCTTCCTCCGTTCCTCCACTGATCTTGGTGTTCACGCAGCTGCCACAACAAGTCCCACTCCTCCTCACCACCCTTCTTAAATATGTTATCACAGAAGCGCAGCTGATGGGCTCAGTTTTGGTGCAGAGGTGTAGCTGACGTGGAGCTGGGGGAGCTTCGAGAAGCTTCTCACAGGGGGCCACCCCGATAGCCCCCTCCCCTGCCACCAAAAAACCCCACCGCTCACTCAAACCCAGGACAGAGAGGTTCTTTGTTCTGCTTATCTTGAGGGTCCTGATGAACAAGAAGCTGGCCACGAGGCAGCAGTATGTCCTCGCAGCAAAGGCGGCAACAGCCAGCGAGGGGGGCATGGGTGAGAAACACCCGGGGGACTGGGTCCAGCGGCCAGCTCCCCAGTACAGCAGAGACACGGAGAGACGCTGGGAAAGTCCAGCAGCAGGCCTCCAAGATGATTAAGGCGTATTTCCTGCGAGGAAAGGCTGAGGGAGCTGGGCCTGTTCAGCCTGGAGAAGACGAGGCTCAGGGGACCACATCCACATGCGTAAGTAAATGATGGGGGGGAGTAAAGGTGACGAAGCCAACTCTGGTCGGCGGTGCCCAGCGACAGGACAAGGCGCGATGGGCCCCAACAGGAAATACCGTTTAAACATCGGGAAGAACTTCACTGCTGTGAGGGCGGTCGAACAGGGAGGCTGTGGAGTTTACGCCCTTGAAGATGCTCAAGACCCAACCAGACGCGTCCCTGAGCAACCCCGCTGCGCGTCACCCTGCTCTGGAGGGTCCCCTGGCCTCGGCCGTCCACCGGTCCAGGGAGCTCAGTTCTAAGGACCGCGGGCTTGTGTTCATTTTGTGGTGGAGGGCTCTTTCCCGAATCCTCTCAGCCGTCTTTTCTGTGAACGCAAACTAAAATAGACACTCGGCTAATTACACGAGGCAGCCCTGCTATTAGATGAGAGCGAGCTAAAAGGCTAAACTCCAAAACACACCCCACCGAGCTGAGAGCCTGAAGCTGCATCCCTCTAGTGCAACGTGCGCGTTTCCATAGCTCTCCACATACAGAAAACGGGTCTGGGGCACGCACAGGGCAGAGAACCAGTAAAACCTTCAGAAAATATGTGCAGATGAATGTCCCAATACTCTAAGCATTTATACAGTTCCTCCTAAAAGGTGAGGTTTCATCTTTCGCATTCGATGTTTCCAGTCAGGTAGGTCTCCAGAGTAAACGTGTCCAACCTACTTCGGCTATAGCACAAACAGAATTTTACTTCAGTAGGTGAAGGCATTTCACTGCCATGAGGTTAAGGGGAGAGAACTCCTCTTCACACAGCAGAAATTTGTCATAGAAAAGCAAGCCCTAAAAACATGATTTCGGTATTTAAAAACTCATCCATACATAAGAAGCCAGATAGCCTAAAAATAAACCTTTCCTTAATGCAATCCTCATGAGGAAGTACCTAAAACGGTCCAACTGTGTGTAAATGCTGGATTAGCGGAGCTTTATAAACTGTGACAAGGAATTTAGAAAATACCATCACATGCCACCGCTGCTTCCCCCCATGATGCACACAAGTATAAAATGCTTAGGGAAGAAGCCACTAACAAAAGGGGGGTGGGGGGTGGACAGGGAGGGAAGGAAAGAGGGAGTTTATTATTTTTTAAGCTATGCTTGCTCCCTCCCCAACTTAAATTTAAAAAAAAAAAAAAAAAAAAAAAGAAAAAAAGAAAAAAAAAAAAGAGTTGCTAGTTGCTGATGTCATCAAAGTGCTAACATTAATCACTCACAGCATCACTGGTACACGCACAAGAGCATATAATAGGGATGTTCAGGCTGTACTCTGTCCAAGGGGAGGCAAGCAAGAGACAGGGAGAAAAGACATTCTTTTTTCTCCTGTATGTTCTTTGAAAAGCAAGGCAACGGCATTTTTAGACAAGATGTGTTCCTGCATGAATTTAAGTGAAAGAGACAAAGAAACCATGGCACCGGAGAAAAAACTGAAAGCACCAAGCAATGAGAATTCAGTCCAAGGAGTCTGAGGGGAAGAAAAGCAAACTGGCAAGCAGAGATTGGGCAGGAAATAAAACTCATGTGAAAAGGGATACAGAAAACTTAAGTGCTCATATAATTTTCACAGCAGCATCACCATATGAAAATTCTGTTCTGAAATTTCCTTCAGGAAGTGACGGTAAGTACTGACTTTATAATCTATAAAACATCAAATTGGTTTTCCAAGCATTTACATGTCAGGAATTACATGTCTTCTAATAACTGATGTTTTGTAACAATAGAAATGTATTCTTGTTATTTAATTAAAACCCAAACATTCTACTTACAAAATGCTGTGAGAATGAAACTATTGTTTCTAGACTGTGCTAGGAAGTGTTCTATCAAAAATAAATTATAATTTTAAGTAAAGGGGATCTACCAGCTGAAGAGAAGACAACTGAGCAAGTAAAAGCTCTGACCTTACTAAAGTGCCCAATTTTAATCTCTGAGCAAACTCAGTTCCTTTCTGTTGCTGCTGTATCAAAAAGGAGGGTTCACTTACCACACGATTAGAACGGCAGCATCTACCCAGATCAGTCATAGCTAAGGTTGTACCTTGTAATGAAAATAAACACACATCTTTTTCTTCCCACTTCCCAATAAGTATAATCCAAAAGCCTCGCTCAACAATTTTTATACATAAACTGCCACAGAATTCTTACTATTAATGTAACTATCAAAATCCCACTAAAATAACATATAGTTTTCCAGCCTCCTATCAGGTATAAACTACAAAAGAAGTATTACAGAGTAATTTCAGAATATGTTATGAACAAATCTTACAAGCTTTCTCCAGAAGGAGAATTTTCAATAGTCAATTGTTATTTAGCCAGGAGATGTAACATTTTAAACCTGACCATAAAAAAAAAAATATTTCATTTTTATAATGAAGTCATGAACAGTGAAATACAGTGAAATTCATGGGCATTTATCTTCATAATTAAAAGAAACTTTCACAGTAGAAAAAACTTTCAGAGGAGTGCCACTAGAAACTAACTATTAAACTAAGAGAATCAGATTAAATTGCTGGAATAACTTTTTTTTCCCTAAAGTTACCCTCACAACAGTAAAATCAAAAAAAACATATCAAACAAATGAAAATATCCACTGGCTGTTATTATGTATTCTTTAGTGGAGATGTATAGAAAACTGCAGAAAACAGATGTTTTCCTTTCGCTATTTACAGTGTTAACAGAAACTGAGAATCCCAAAATACTGGCTGTTTTTCTGATTTTAATTTTATTATAAGGAGTAGTATAAATTCAAGGCAGACAGACTATGGAATTACATACAGTCGCTTGGAACGGGAAAGAGTATTAGTAATTTTCAAAAAACCCACAGTTTATCCAAAAAAGTACGCTACAATGAAAGCTGTATTTCACCAACTAAGCTTAGCTTGAGAAAGTTTTCCAAGAGGCTGAATAGCACCAAGAATAAATATTGTGATACTGATGCCATCAATGTACTGGCCTCACAGCCGCTGCTCTAGCAGAGGCTACAGAGGTGCGAACTCACCAGCAAAAAATGGAGAGTATTGGCGATCAAGAAACTAATGTAAAATAATATTGGAGACAAAATAGTATCTGGTGATGTTTCCACATGCTCTTTTGGTTTTCAGTTGATCGTGACTGGCAAAAAATGAAGACTTGTGGACAGTAGAGGAATTTATCCCTCAGTATCCACTCCTGCCACCCCTCTCTGGGCACTTAATGTAAAAGAACTTATTGCTCACAAAAGCAAGCTTTGAGATTATGCAAAACACCAAGTAAGCAAAATAAAACGCATGATACTCAGGCTAGAGAGAAAAACAACTGCTGCATTCTTTTTCAGTCATCTGAAAAAAATCTGTGAAAGGAAGTGGTTCCCCGATTGCAAATTCTGCAAACCACGTCGTCTCTCACGGAGACAAGATACAGCTGGTCACCTGCATGGGCAGCAGCTCTGGTTGAATTTCTACAAGCTTATGTTTATCCTTTCACTTGAGAAAGAAATACGTAGATTAAAATACCCCAAACTTTATGGACTTCCAACTCCCCCCTTCTACACAGCAGCAGCAAAGATAAGAGCAGAGTTTCCCCATAAACTCCTTTCTTAAATTGCAGAGCACTACGATTGAGATCCACCCGACATCCCCAGGGCGGCAGCTTCTCAGCTACCTCCCAGGGAAACAAACATCTTCCCTTTCCACGGCGAGATCAGCATCGGGAGAGAAGAAACCACCCGAGCAACACCCTGATGGGAATAACCGTCCAAAACATCACGGGAAACACGGCAATGGTCATTTGGCCAAAAACGGCCAGTTGTGCCGACAGCTTTTACAGCATCATGTACCACCCTAACTGGAACAGCATGGTATCCAGTTACTCGAGAAAGAGCTTTCAGAAGGAAGAGAGGGTGCCTGCCAGTCGCTCCTCCTTCGTTCTTGAAAACCTAACCCCGCTAACAACATACATCTTGTGTGTGACCTGCCAGTCCGCAAACCCCTCCAGTGACCAGTGCAGAGTTTTTAACACGCTGGAACGAGACCCGGCCTCCGCGAGCAACACCAAAAAAGAGCTGGCGCTGGGCATCTGGCTCACCAGCAGCGTCCTGCTCCTTACCATCACCGCGATCCTCGTCTACGGCTGCCTGCACCTCCTCTACCGCAGGAGACGGGAGCGTCTGCAAGGCCAACCCGGGAGCTCCACACAAGGGCAGGGGGCCAAAAGCGCGGCGTGCGCCTCGGGGGAGCTCGGCAGGCAGAGCCGGCTGCTGCAGGACGCCAAGGATCCGGGTGGCATCCAGCTGGCCACGATCATAGAGAATCCCTCAGCCTCCGAGGAGCCCGTCACGCCGGCGTCCAAAAGCCAGGAGCGAGCGGCAGTGACAGGACAGAGCTCTGCTGTAAATTAGAAACCTTTATGTCAGGGAGGAAAGTTTTACCTTTCCGCATACGAAGAGCCCAACTGCTTCAAACGCTTCACACGTATTGTCGGCGCTCGCACCAGGGAGCGCCGACTGCTCCCCGCTGCTCCTCTGGTGTCACGTCCCTTTCCAGCAGCCCCGACGCAGCCAGAGGCACTCAGAGAAAAAGCTCCAGATTCCCAAGAAGTGAGTATTTCAGCTGCACTGCATTATTTAAAAATGAAGCATGCAGCAAATAACCGGTTTATATTTTGAGGGGACTTTTTTGGTTGCTTTTTTTTTTTTTTTTAGAAGTCCAGAACAGCAAACAAATATAAAAATGAATCAAAAGTGACCACAAGATTTTTTTTTTTTTTTCTTCTGGTTTTTACTAGCGTAAATTCAAACTGAGTAGAGGTTTTCAGATGGCAACCCAGCCTGCTACTACACTACAGGCAACTGGAACGTACACCCCGAGTGCAGTGGTCTGCCAGTAAGCTTCACCCCCACAATCCTGACTGCTTCTCAAACTACACACTACAGACTGCTAAACGCTGCCTACGCACTTCGCCGACCCTGGTGCTCTCCAAAGCTCCCATCTGAATGAAGTCAGTCTCAGAGTGGAAGCTAAATTCACCAGGATTTTAAATGGGCTGCTTTCATCTGTCTTCGAAATTTCCCCTCGGTCTAAAACCATATGGAAGACAGCGACTCTGTAAGGACATTTCCAATGAAACTAAGGAAATATCCTGGGTTATCACGGCTTGCCCTCTTCTGTGCCCACCACAAGCTACCTTCTGCTCCATGGGCGAGTGACTCCCTGTGGAGGAAACAGGGGTCAGAGAAGCAACTGCTGGCCCTTCCTTTTCCCTTCCCCTTTCAGTTTTATCATTAAAACTCATTCACCAGCTGCAAATTTCTACCCAACCGGAGGGTACATTTTGTGTGATAAAGGGGCAAGGAAGTAAAAAGATGCCAAAACACATTTTATTTTTGCAACAGCCAAATCTGCCGATCATCTCACTCTGCCTTGAGCATCATGGCCACGTGCCAAGAACAGCCCTTCAGGCAGAAATCCATTCACCCTCACAACACGACGCATCTTGTCTGGCTTAGACGTATATCTCACCCTGTTTTAAACCTCTTAAGCATGTTTGTGTTCCATAAAAACATAATAAATCTTAGTATTGCTGTATAGTATGGTATGTCTGAAAAACAAAGATACGCTGTGACTGCAGGCATTTTAAAGTGCTGTCGATAGGAATGTACACGTGAAGTCAGCTCGGTTGTACCAGGGAAGGCTGGAGAACCGCTGGCTGGGCAGCTGCCGTCCCTTTCCACCGCGCCCTGGAAGCCAAGGGGGCATAAAATTTCGGCAAGAGAGAGCCTGCTAACATTCCACAGCAAGGAGTGGGTCTTTTCAGCTACTGTGTTTTGCCAACATTACCCACAACGTGCCAGAGACGTCAGCTCTCATATTGCTAGGAAGACAGGAGCTGGCCTAAGCTCGATGTGTCATCTTCATTTTACTAGGGTTAGGTACGACACACAGAAACGCGTGCGGAATGGGGGCGAGTATTACTCCTAGAAAACATTTCAAAAGGCATCCTTGTTGTGTTAAGTCAGCAATAACGTGTTCTCCGCCCCCCCCCCCCCCCAGCATAGCATTTCCTCCAGCTGACATGTTTTTCTTTGTCTTGTACATCAGTCTTAAATAAACTGTGAAGAGGAACAGTTTACTGCTGTTTCGCATGACGGTGTTTCATGAAACAGACACTGAGAAACTGTCTTCCGAGCATGAAGCCAACACTACAGCTTTACTGCCAAAATGGTGCGGCTGGGTAGCAGGGACCAAAAAAAAAAATGCTTTAAAATGACCTTGTAATCAAATTAACGGTAACACTTCTCTGACTAGGATTTCACCAAAGAGAGAAAATATCATTTTAATGTTAAAGGGATGGAGCCAAGAGATATATTCTCATCCCTGCCAACATCTTGGGCCTTTGAAAACCTGTTTACTTCTCTGCACCTCTGTTTTTTTATGTTTTAAGGCAGTCCAATACACATATTTACATGCATTTCTTGGTTATACACACATGTACTTACCATATTGAGAACAAGGAGCAGTTCAGTCAAAGCAGTTTTGAGGCAATTCACCTACTGAATTTTGTTATTTATACACAAACACATATATACAAAAAGACACGTGTATATATCAGATTGAGAAAGCAAGGAGCTACTGTGGAAGTACTCCCAGGAATGGGACTTACCTCATCTAAATATAAAACCATTCCACCCAGTGAGTTTACTGCGCACTGCTCAGATAAACATTTATATTGCCTCGTGAGCAACGGACCATCTAATGTCTGCTGCAAATGAGCAATGCGTAAGGAATGCCATCGAACTTCTGCACTAGTTTTGAAGAAGAAATCATGTCATCACACATTCACAGAGCCACACAATTCTTTGTCTCTTGCTCAGAAAGTTTTATTACGGATTCATGCAGGTTCATTCTGGCAGTTCTGTGCTTTGGTTGTGCACTGTCCAATTTTAGCAGTGATCTAATAGAGGGCAAATATTCTAAGCGATTACTAAACTGATAACAAGATGCAACATTAGTGCAAGCTAATGTTAATTTGTGCACCAGCGGTGGATAAAAAACATTATATTCACACGGAGAAGTTTTTTTCAAAGGGGTCTTTCATCACGGAACAAATGAGTTCGCATCTACCAAATGCAGAAGACATACAAACATGAAAATCTTCGGAAAAATGTATAAACCAGAAAGGAAGCTCTTAAATTCTGGTCTACTCAACCTCTCCAAAACCAGGTACTACAATAACGTGCAAAGTTAGGTTCAAATCCGCAGAAGAGACTCTTCCTTACATGTACATTATTAAGTATTTTACACATCCAGCCAAATTTCAATCTGCTAACATTCGTTCCATTAATGCTACACACACTTCACTTAAGTAAAGGGATTTCAGTGACCATGCTTTTAAAATACTCCGGCTCACTTAAGAGGCTGATGAGCTTTTGCAGGTTGGGTCCTTCCCACCTGAGAGCTCTGCTCCCATGTCAGACACGAGAATTAAGTTGTACCTGTGGGCTTCTGTTTTGCTAATTGGATTAAAGATACCGCTCAGAAAACTTTAGATGCAACAGAGCACGTGGACACAAATGTCTGTGCTAAGCATCAATACACATTAATATAGACCAAAGGCTTTAATTTATTTAGGAATATCTGAGGATATGTGAACGCTTTGAGATCAAAACTAAAAATTTCTTTAATTACTCTTAAGCAAGCACACTGCTCATGCAAAACTTCTGCACAGAAAGTGTTTAGTCATTACAGTCCGACACGTGCCTGTATGAGTGTACATACACACAAGAAACCACAGTGCACTTTTCTTTACCTGAATAAATACCATGGATTGCTAAGAAAAACCCCAACCCAAAACACCCAAACACACATCAAAAAAACCCCAACACCAACCGACAACAAAAAAAAAGTCCAGTAAGGTAATCAGAAAGTTATATTCCTTGGCTATATGATCAATACAAAGTGCTCACCTAAATATCTGGAGTAGTTCAAGAATTCAAAAAAGACAATAAAATAAAAAATACATAGCTACTCCATACCCCACCATTATTCAGTTGGGGCAATTCAACAATATAACTGTTAAAGGACTCAAACAAGGATGTGCTCTGTGGCAAGACTGGCTGTGTAACTCACAGAATAACACCACACAGTTAGATCACACACTAGAATGTGTAGCCCCTACCACTAAGAATTACTATCTGTTACTTGCTATATGCAGTAGAAATGTCGTCCTAAAATTCCATTCAGATATCCTCAATTCCAAAACACATCAGATTCAAGAATAAAAATGTACTCTTGTAAAAAACTAAAACTACACAGTCAGGAATATTTGCAAATACAGGCATACCTAGTTATGAAACTTGCTCCAGAAATGCATTTAAAAACCCCCTTGATTGTTCCTGCTCATATAGAAAAATAATCAGATTTCTAAAAACCTATAGCTCTCAGAGCAAAGATTACTAAACTCATTTTAATAATGTAGCCTGGCTGATAAAAAGAGGGTTCCCTGGCTAACCCTCTGTCACTTACCCTACTGTATCATCACTTAGATAAATTAAGTTAGCAATCTCTACTGAATTCAGTGGGGTTTTTGTTCTTTACACGGCATCTGGTGAACTCCTACGATAGTAAGGAACACAATAACTCTAATGTAAGAAAATCCCACTTTCTTATAATTTACTGTTCCCTGTTGGAGAACAATTATATAAAGACTATTCACAGTACCAGACAATCAGCTGTTACATTCCACATTAAAGGCATGTGAATCCTTTTCCACCTCCTTTACATTTTAAAAGCATGGAAGTTTTACAAATGTAGCACATATATTAGGACTGAAATTTGTAACTTCTGAGCTAACTCTTCAGGTCTCCAAAACTAGCTTGCTGGGCAAATCACTTCACAGAGATTGCACTGTACAACTAGGATATGATGTGCCGAAAATACAGTAAGACAAGGACTAATTATGCTCATGTTTAAATAGGAGCCAGATAATGAAAGTAGCTAGACATGAAGATGACACAGAGCACTTGTAGAAATTACAAGGATAAACGAGTACAGAATTTTAAAGCTTTATTTTAGTCAACAATCCTCTAGTTTGATCCTCATATTTTTATTGATCTTTTCCATTCTTTAATTTTGCCTCTCTGATACTCAAGAAAACAATGCAAAATAAAGAATGACATCTTGTTAAATATTCTCAAGTGATTTGCTGAAGATATCACTGCCAGTTTTCACTGCTGTTGGAAGTAGATCAATATTTCTGACTGGATATTAAAAATGCAGATATACGTTAACGTACTATGCTTTTAACTGTCATTAAGACTCAGGTAATAATTCTGAAGCATAAGAAAATAAATCTGCAGTGACCATGGAGAGTAAACCTCTCTCTCCAACATACAATACTGCACACATGAGTGCAGCATGGGTCCTATGAACACAGGCTAACTTTCCTCACTTGGGTAGATCCACGACAGCCCACGACTATTCTCCTGTGCCAAGTACCCTCTCGACTTGTCGCCCATGGAAGCTCCTTTCCAACATCAATACCAGGCATTGCCTTAAGGCACAGAGTACGTGACTGCACATCACGTACACTTCTACTGAAACCTTGCACAAACCTTCTAGGCACTCCTAACCTGCAAAGCAAGAAAGATGATGCTAATACAGGAGATGAAAAGGCCAGAAGGCCAAGTTCATCGCAACAACTTCGAGGTCCTTGGATTGAAGGTGCTGGAGAAATACTACTTTTTTTTTTTTTTTTTTTTTTTTTTCCTCTTCCAAATAATTTAAGCAGATTGGTATCTGATAGTTTAGGATGGTCAGAATCTATATTCCTTTTAAGTGAAATAACATCTGATGTAGTTTTTCCTATTTGTTCCCCTTTTTCCTGCCATGGCAGTCTTCAGCACCATAACAAGGGAGCAGCTGCACCCAAGATGGGCCCTTGTTCTCACTTCACCAGATGACTAATTAATCTTTTCTTTGAGTCTGCTCTGTCACTATAAGCAACTGTGCAGTGCAAGGTGATTGAGAGAAGGACTTATTTTTAGCTATGTCAGATAAGACTAACCATCAGACTAATCACTCACACTTTGGCTGAACCATATGGTGGGCTTCACAGAAAAGTCTGAAAAAAGGTGTACCTTGAATTTAAATATTCACAAAATGCATTCGAGTCCATTTTTAATAACTTTTATATTCCATAATTTCTATCACTAAAAAAGATACCTTTAAACATTAGCAAACCATAAATATAAAGTGAATTAAATCCAACCTTTGATCCACAGAGGTATTGAGGTTGTGCATTAGGCTGCTTATCTCTCTGAAACTCCTGAGAAAACGGTAGCACGGTCCGAACAAATCTATAAAAAACAAAATAAGAATTCATTAATTACATTTAGGTTAGCAGGTGTGCTCCTAATGCACCTTACCCTGTATAATACCTCTTTTGCTTACGTATAAAATCAAAGCCAGACTGGTGGCCTTCCGGCCCAGGTTGAAACTGGGGAAGCACATAGCCTGCACTGCCCAAAAACCGTAACGCAATTCTCCATCACTTACTGGGACCCTGCTCTTCCAGTGGTGTGCAGTGTCTCAAAATATTTCTCACCTCTACTCAAGCCCAGACCAGCAAAAAGAGAAGCAACTAACAAGGCAGCAGTAGCCTCTCACAGAGAGTGAGGAAGTTCCTTATGCCTCCAAAATCAAGTCCTTCAGAATGGACTACATCTTCAAAGAAGAACATGACATTTCTATTCAATGTTTCAGAGCTTATTCCCCACCAAACAAACTCACAGCAGGAGAAATATTTTAGGTTAACACCTTTAAAAAAAAAAAAAAAAACAAAAAAACAAACATCTACTCCAATTCTGATTCTGCTTAACTTTACTAAACTGAGCAAAATTACCGGTGCCTGTGTTAACGGGTCGGGTGGATATTTTTTTAACTCAATAAAAACAATTTCTTGGTAAATGGTGCAAAGCTGTCTATAGCCGGGCAAGAGGGAAAACAGCGACTTACGAAGCATACATCGAACGCTTGTAGCAGACCAGGCTGTTCGGAGTGACAGCTGAGTAAAATAAATGCATCTAGGAAAAAGGTTCAGGAAAGGAAGGCTGCGGTCCATTATAATATCCTAAGATACAATTGTATCTTGATGTGTTTTTGTTTAAAGTATGTTTGAATTTAA